ATTCTAGAAAGGCTAATTAGGAAGCTGGCCCCGGCCTGAAGGGTTAAAGGATAGTTAAGCCACATACCAAGCCAAGGACTCTATCCTCCCCAAAAGTTCCCATTAGAAGCCGAGATAAGGATACTTTCCAAGGCCTGAGCTCCTGCAGGAGGCAGGGTGTTTACTCTGAAAAGGCATTCGTAGGACCGTGGAGGAATTACTTAGTATTGGGCTAAGGGAAGAAATGTGGGGTGGGGTGCTATTCAGCACAATCAACAGTGTCTGTATTTATTAAGCTGAAAAAATAAACTCGGGGCTGGCAGCTGGCAACAGGAATGAGCTGCAGCCCTCCCGATCCCATCTTTTTTGTGTCTGTCTTTCCTTCATCCTCACCCCTTCCTCAGGACCGTTCGACTCTGCCGGCGGGCTCCGGTAAGTGGCGCCCGAACAGGGACCTGAGAGTAAGGATCCGGTGAAGGACGGCGCGGAAGGGACGCGTCCGAGAACAAAAGTAAAAGGTTGGTGCGCGAACAAATTGCAGTTGATTTACAGTCGGGAGTAAAAAATCATGGGACAGGAAAGTAGTATAGAATTGTTTGTCTAAGTGCTGAAAAGTATGCTTAAAGCCAGGGGAGATAAGGTCACTAGTGCACAAATATTTAAGTTTCTAAGCTTTGTAGAGGAGATCTGCCCCTGGTTCCCTAAAGAGGGCACAGTTAACAGGGAAACCTGGCAGTGGGTTGGAAAACAGCTGCAGACGCATTATTCGCTCCATGGGCCCTCGGAGGTGCCGGTAGAAACACTTTCCCTCTGGACCCTGATTAGGGACTGTCTAGATCTTGACCCAGAAAGCAAGCGGTGGGGGAGAGCCACAGAGGACGGAGGTCCTGGGGCTGTGGCTCCAAAGGATAGAGAGAAGCCCCTGCCTGAGAATCCTTGTCCCCCGGCCTTAGAGGCTTTAGCACAGGTTGGTGGGGGTAGTGAGGATGGCGATGAGCTCCATCCACAGGACAAGGCAGACTTAGAGGACGCCGTGGCTCGATACAGTGAGGAGGATGAATGGCTCATGGTAATGGAGGAAAAGCCCAAGGAGGAAGGGTCTGGAGGGTGGCTAGGACTTTTAGAGCAGCAAATGCAAGGGCTACAAGAATGGATGANCAAGGCTTACAAGAATGGATGCAAAAATTGCATAGCTGTCTACAAGGAGGCATCCTAAGAAAACACCGCAGGAAACATCAGAGTAAAACTGTCTTTTTAGAGCAGTAAAGTGGTAAAGAGGAGAGGGCGACTGGAAATATACGGCATAGCTTGTGACAATCAAGGACGTTGTCATAGAACAGCATGTGCAAATCTTAATCATACCAGTTTCTAGGCAGCTGGCTCACCCAGGTAAGCAAGGGCTGAACAGCTAGATGAAAAATGGACTTTTTCACCTCTCCTCCCCAGTAACGACCCCTTGTTTATTGTGATTTATTTCCTACTTCTGAGTTGACTTTCCCTGGAAGGGAGACTGCTTAACGTGCAAAGCTTTGTCGAAGAGTAGGGTGCATGTAAGATGCTGAGTTCTGGGCTGCACTCACACCAAGGTCTGCTATTGTAGAGCCAAGACTGATAGCTTTATCTATAGAAAGCAAATTATGGATATGTTTTTTTTAAAAAGGATTGTCATTTGAGATATACATATATTAATGCCAATAGTTTAATTCAACAACATGTAATCTAAGGTGACAGTGCTTTTGGCAAGCCAAGTCTCGGTCTACCTATGCCCTCGTGAGGTGGGAAGATCCGCTCCCGGGGCAGTGGCAGGGTCCTGATCCAGTACTCATTTGGGGGCGAGGGCATGTTTGTGTTTTCCCACAGGATGCCGAGGTGGCGCGGTGGCTCCCGGAGAGGCTGGTGCGGTTCGCGGGGAACCAGTCGACTGGCAGAGGGAATGCAGCAGATGAGTCGCGAGGACCGGCCCCGGACTCGCCGAATCAGAACAAGGCGGCGTCTGATCCGGAGTCAGATGGAGACAAAGATGAAGGAGGCTGAGGACATGGTTCGTGGGCAAGGAGGGACGCCTCCTGCCACAACCATCTTCTTGGCCATGTTAGCGCTCTTGATGAGCCAAGCTCCTGCGGCACGGGCCAAAGTATATTGGGCTTATGTGCCTGATCCCCCAGTGCTCCACGCTGCGGAATGGGGCCTTAGGCCCGTTCCTGTTTATACCAACTACACATGGGGGCTTGGGGGGCTCAGCAGTGGCCACATAGCTGCCTTCCGTCTCCAGGGATTACTGGAGAGCTGCCCATTTGTCTCTCTGCCATCACTGAGGCCACAGGGTCTGTCACCCTTGACACAACCACACACCAGACATGGACGCCTCAGTGGTACCTTGATGTGACTATTAATAACTCCACCTACAGAATAAAAGCAGGAAATTACACCCGGTGGAGAGTAACCCTCATGGGACTACAAAACAGTGGGGCTCCGAAACAGGACATTGGGGAAGCCCCTGATGTCCCTCTGTGTGAGCCGGACACTAGGAACCGTACCGGGGGCCTGTATGGGCTACCTGCAGGAAGGACAAGGCCACGGTGTGGAACATACCCAGGGTCCATGAGACCTTGCAGGACTGGAGCCCCTACAAGGCCAACCTTATCTGAGCTTGGATCCACTCATCGGTGGACTGTTGAGGGCCTTTGGACAGTCCCCGGGGGAAGGCCACAAACACAGCTGTGGAGGTTGGCTGCAGCCATGGGACCTAATATGTCCATAACAAATGACGAACGAGGCCACATCCAGGTTGGCGGACTCTCAGCTGAGCGGTATCAACGGGCTCAGGCCTGCGTGCCACACCCTTGGGGGCTTGTTGTCGGGACTGTAAAAACTACCAAAAGTGATTGGGGCTATAATGTGACCTGCAACAGCTGTACTCGTGCAAACTGTGTAATGGGGGTGGCCTCGGGTACTCAGGTCTTAGTGGTGCAACAACCCGCCTTTATGATGTTGCCTGTCAATGTGTCAGGGCCGTGGTGTCGTGATGAGGGGCTCCAACTGTGGAGAGAGGTAGAGCGTGCTTTAGCACCACAGAAGCACCGATTCATCGGTCTCCTGACAGCGGGCATCGCCGCCCTAGCCTCCCTCATTGCCACGGCTGCCACCGCTGCCGTGGCCCTCACAAAAGAAATACAGACAGCCCACACAGTCAACCAACTGTCTAAAAACGTGAGCACGGCCTTAGGAACTCAGGAGGCCATTGATATCAAGTTAAATGACAGAATTAATGCCTTATTTGATGTAATTATCTAGGGGATGAGGTGCAGGCATTAAAAATGAGAACTTCCTTTACCTGCCATGCTAGATATAAATGGATCTGTGTCACACAGAAGGAATATAACAAATCGGAGCACCCCTGGGAAAAAATCCAAANCCTGCCATGCTAGATATAGATGGATCTGTGTCACACAGAAGGAATATAACAAATCTGAGCACCCCTGGGAAAAAATCCAACGCCATCTCCTAGGGGTTTGGCATGATAGCAATGTGTCCTTAGATATCGAGAGTTTACGCAAAGAGATCTTAGATATTCGTAATGCTCCACAGCTAGATGAAGACTTAGAACATCATTAACAAAATCCTTAGCATAGTGCCATCCATGGGAAGTGTTACACATTTAGCTATAGGACTGGCTTGCTTGGCTTTCTTTATCCTTACAATAATGTTATGTTTACCTCTCTTCCTAAAAAGGGGTATAAAAGGAATTAAAGAAATTCGCCGTGATCTCCACATGCTACGCCTGCAGGCAATAGATAACGGTGTCTCAAAGTAATAAATAGGGGGGAGATGTGGGGAGCCGTTGTGGCCCTAGGCACGGAGGAGCTGCCTGTGTGAGCTGCAGAAGTGCTCCCCTGCTCCCTGGGAGATGTGGGTGAGCTGCTGTGGCCCCAGGCACAGAGGAGCTGCCTGGGTGAGCTGC